TTCGATGAATAAGACGAACTTGAATACATACTCTTCTCCATTTGAGGAAAATTAAATGGGAGAAGTGGAGTTGGGATGACTTAGTAACTTGAAGCTGGAAAGGAGTCAGTTAGGAGTTCAAAGTTAATTCTATTTGCAATGAGGTGTAGACAGTACTCAGTTAACACATTTTTCTTTGCAGGAGAAGTCTGCAAACCGTGTCCACGTGATTAGTGGGCCGTCAGTCCTGCTTCACTTTGTGACCTAGTCAAAGTACTTCATAATTGTAAGCAATTGCGAACCACGATAACAGACTAGTGTGGTAAGCAGGTAGGGATGAGAAGTAGTTCTGCTGAATTTTGACAAAAACAAGTGGAATTTGAGAAAATTAAGAACTTCTGGTACCTGAAGGAAAAAGAAATGCATTTTATTCAGGTAGCTAAGAGTAAGACAAGTTCTAGAAAATAAACAAATGGGGGAACGGTTGCATTTCTTTTGCAACAACCATTGTTCATAGCTGAGGAGTAAGTACCGAGGCATGAGTATTGGAGAATTGTCAGAAGAACTGACGTCATTGAAGAGGAAATGAACGAACAACACGGTATCGTATTTACGTTGCGAAACGCATCTGCTAGAGGCCAACCATTCCCTTTCCGGTAGGTGAAATACTCAGGCACATGCTGCTGGAAAAGTTGCACTGAAGTTGAGGCAGCTGATGATGACTGCAAGCAGAAGAGACGTTATCCACTTGTTCGTTTGTGCATAGAAAGTGGATTGATGCGATGCACATGCATAATTTTGACATGGAGGCGCTTCCACACATACCTCTTCAACATCCTCTAAAATATATCTAACAAGAGGGCATTGGATTTCGTTGCATCATATGTCAACTTTGTATCCCGTGGTATCGTTTATTACACATACTTGACACTGTATAGACATTTCAAAAACTGAGTCACTCTGAGTCTACTCAATTCCGTTGATGAGTCAAGTGACCTGCGTGTAGGCGCTGGAAAAGAAGGTGACCGAATGCATATGCATTATACCATTAATATAAAAGCTTAAAATTATACGCATTATGATGTAAAAATACCACATTACTACCTGCATTTTTTTTTGGTTAAAGAATTTTGTGCCTCTTACGAGAACACGCCTTTTTGTAGTGTCACACGAAACAAAATCATGCTTGCCTAGGGAGGAGCGTTTTCTGAAAAAAAGGACAAATGGGCGGCCCGGAAGCCAGTCCCATTGCATAAAATGGGTGACAATGCAGAGCATAATACAGTCCCATTGTCTTCCTACAGACCACCATCACATTATACTCAAATTATCCACGGACATACGTCCTCATTCTATGGTCTGCATTGTCAAGGTCTTTGTTCCCAAGACTATTTATAAAACCCATTGTCTTCTTAAGGCATTCAACTTTATCATCAAAGTTTAACCCACAAAAACTGCTCTTACCTCTCTCTGAATACCTTAATTGAATGCAATTTTAGGCTTTTAAAGGTGCAACGAAATGCATTAGTGAGTAAACCCGGAATAATGAAATGGTGGCCTGCGATCGACTTATGGTGCCAATATGTAGAATGTGATTCGATGCTAAAGCGATCAAACTATCATGCTTATAACAACGCATCTTTGTCGTCAACCATTTCAGAACGCTGCCGAACTCAAGGACGACTGCTAAAAATTCACTCGTGTAGTCGCTGTTTTGTTTATGCCACGTAAGCGTTTACCCATTGTCATTTCCTTCTTGATAAGCCCATTAATTTGTTAAAAGCCGTCTCAGAGCCAAGCTCTAAGCCCGAATCCAATCATGTAAGCGATTACAAAGAAGGCAATGCAACTGGGAATTGGACTACCCAAATGCTATTTTGTGGCGGGAACAAGAAAACTCAACGTTGCGAGTTTGAAACAGCCCTCTTCTATAGCGGTCAGCGCTAAGATTCACGGGACGCTGTCGGCGGATCAATAGCCCCGCGTGGAATTGGCTCAAAAGAGGCGCCGCCTTGAGGAAGCAGGATGGATCTCAGTGAGTTTGATAAACATGTGTAAACAGTGAATCGCAGAGAGGTCTCCTCTCAAAGTTATGCCACGTGGGAAGTCAAAATTGATACTGAATTTCGCACAATTAAATATTAACGAAAAGCCTTACGAGGTAGGTTGACTGACAGTCCAGTTTTGACTTCCAATTTGTTTATACAAATAGAGCCAAAATATATTTCGATAAAGTTGAAAAACACTACCAAGTGATTAGAATGCTTTTTACTTATTCAAAAATATGTGGTAAAATTTTTCTGCCTTTAGTTTTCGGTCAGATTTTTTTGGCAGCAGTGGACTTATTCCTCTACTAACCACCCTAATTAACGACCTCTGGCGTTTGGAGTGTGACATAATCATTGTAATATTGGCAGTCACCATGCCTTTAATCGCACTATCTGATAACCTGGGTTATAAAACCTGCTCCTAAACCCGAAATTAACAGAAGCACACTGCATCCTTTCCCAGACTCGTGTCTTTCAAAATGAGCGGAAATGAGTTGTCGATTCTAGTTTTCAATTCTTAGGCGGCTCTGGTGACATTTAGTGATAAATTATACGAGATGTTATTAATTTACTTAACTGCAATGTTTCCATGCTTACTTTTCTTGCCAAATTAAAATAAGTTGGAAGACTGTAAGGGCGGAGCTATTTATGAGAAAGGCTTTTCTTTTCCCAACGAATAACATCACTGCAATTTCTTGCAAGAAATCTATACGTTGTACTCGTAATGCTGATTTTGTAGACGACAATTTTTGACGATGACGAGGAAGCATCTATCAGCTTACCACCAACTCTAAGTCGGTCTCTCAAGTGTTCCGATTACCGTACCTTGCCATGGCTCACCCCCTATGACCTCCAGTCGTCAACACCGCCAAACGAGAGCCGATCTGGCGGTTCGGCCCACCACCATAAGACAAAAGGAGTCCATTCTAGTCGCTCTGCGGGACATGCTGCTACAGCCAACAGCGTTAGCAAACTACAAACTGCAGATTTTTACTGTGTCAATCTGGAATCTCGCTTCATCCTCAACACCGGTCATATGGCTTGGAAACACGCGGATAACATCAAGGTCAAGTTGGGATCTCCCTGTGTCTATTTTAACCATCCAGAGTTCTTTACGAAGGCCGGGAATATTTTTGCAAAGGAATACAATTTAAAGTGTCGGCAAGAGGAAAAGCGACGAGAGGAGTGGGAGAGGGCTCGTAAGATCATCCAGAGTGCCAGAGCTGCGTATACTTCAGGTCGCCCAAGTTTCTGTGTTCCTGCAGAGAAGTATACAGAAGACAGTCAATGCAATCTTACTGCAGAACGACCCAAAAATTCTCCACCGCGCAAGAGTCCACGACTTAGTGGCAATGGTAAGCCACTTTTTGATCCTCGCCCCTGGCGAAGAGATGTGTTAGAATTGGAGGCCGATGAAAGCGGGTCTCGACCCAGCGAAAGTCGATCACCTATCAACGAGGCGTACGCAGATGCACACGAATTGATTGACAATCACCTAAGAATGCTGGATAGGCAGAAACTCATTGAAGTTTTGCCCGTTGTGTACCCACATCAAAGTGGTGAAGAATGAAAATATACGAAGTTTCACAACGTTCCAGTGGTCATTGCTGTTTGCTTAATTTTTCGATTGGTAAAAGTTTGCCTTGCGTCCATGTTTTCGGTGTCTCATTCGCATCACAGGAATTTTACTTTAAAAGGAAGGGAATTACCATGAGATCCAGCTTCACACAACTAGTGCATGAAAAAGATACATATTTAGCTAACATTTAAGAAGTGAAGTTAGCAGACGTTGGAAAGTTCGGCTACACAAATGAGGCAAATTTACTTATTCTTTAGGCGATACTAATGAGGAATTTTGCTAGACGGACTGCATCAATTTTTCAGGGAAAAATGAATCGACGTATGGAATCCTTTTGCTTTGGTTGGACCTTAAAGAAGGCTCGCTCTTTGGTAGAACATCCCCCTGCAGATTCGGACGTTTTGACCCCTTTCTTCCAACCATGGAAAAAAGAGCAATCTTGTGACTTCTGTTCTTTCCATCCTCATTCATTAGCAGTTGTTATCACCCCCATAGATCGGACACAGGAGTGTAAAGGCGGTGTGGAGTTGTCAGCAGCTCATTTGTTTGAATGTGAGACAAAGCCATTGCTGTGACTTTTTAAAGTCAACGCAGAAGACAAATGACTTGTGCTTGTCTTGGAAACGTTCAGCACAAATGCAACTTTAGATTAAGCTACAGCTAGTGGCTCAAATGGGAGCAAAGTTTTCCCCATTTGGCAGCTATTAAACGTCTGTTTGGTGTGCCTTTTGATGCAGTTGTCTCCTTTCCCTTGGTAGTGTTTTTTGCAGCTCATGAACGGCAAGTTGCCACTGGAGATGACTAGGTGTTTTTGCGTATCCAAAAGTGTCCTTCCATGTTAACTGTTGAAGTACTCTGTTGAAAGAACGGCGAGAGCAAATGCATTTGCAGCAGCAACAGCCGCCCTCTATTAGCGATGTGCAATTTGAGTCGCTTTATAATGAATTGTCGTGTCTGTCAGGTTGAATGAGGCGCAGTCAAAGTGTTTTAGTAAGTTTACCCTTCCAGCTACAAATACTATCGCCCAAATACCTTTTCTCCCACATTAATGCCTCCACACCTCATTTCCAATCGAGTTGCTATAATGATCTCACATTTTTTCGCTGTGAACGTGGGTTATATAACCTTACAACCAACCACTCACTCTAATGAATGTTTAAGTTTATGGACGCATGGCTTTAGTGTGTTTTGGAGTAAGCGTTTGTTGGCGAACTTTTCCTCCCAAACTAATAGTGATTCACAATAATGGACGCCCAACTGTCACGACGACAATTAAGCAGTGATGTAGGAAATGGTTGACATGCGTTGTAATTCCACGGAGAATCACATAGGGTTAAAAGGGTGCATAAATTCACCTTGAGCTCCTTTAGAACAGTCTGTGTGCGAAAGGTCGGGAGGAATTTCGGTTATATTAATTTGTTTTCCTTACATCTCTTCATTTCCTATTGAATCGGACAGATGAAAATGTTAGCTAACTTGCAGTTATAAAACGACTTGAAATAACTCCGTCTGACCCAACTTACCACCATTAACAATGGTGAATGGTAAAAGAGCAGCAAATTCCGCTCTTACAATTTGTTTTAATGCTCCGTAATTCCTGCTCTCCTAAGATTTTTATATTTATCAAAGTTTTGGTTTAATAAAGAAGAAATATGGCTGCTAATAATAGTTTTATAGTAAAAAATCTCCTATCTACTGCTATTGAAGTTTGAGTGCCAATGGAGCAGTGTTTATGACACCTTTGCATCCCGTGCGGCGGGCTCATGTTCATCCCACGCGTCACGCATTCGGGTTCCGGTGGCGTGACAACATTCAACGTTTCTTTACTTCCTGAATTCGATAGAGCATGTGTTCGAATGAAGCAGAGATGCTGTACAACGCAGACCTGGAGGTTGGAGCTAAGCGTTGAATGGCTTAAAACCGGCATTTACCCACCAACCCATCACTAACTACCACCAAATTACTGACTTGAGTCTGAACATGACCAAATCTTTGAATGCTGTTTATGGTTTGTGAGCTGCTGCCCTTCACGCGGTATGAGCCAAGTCAATTTTATCCCAATCTGAAGAGGTTGTAGGAAAGGATAATAAAGTGAATATAGGTAAAATCTGGCTCCACACAATAATCTTCTGCTGCACGGTGTCATAAAATTTTACATTCATAAAAAATTTACGTGTTGCATTTATGAGTTCAAAGTTGAAAGAAGGACGGAGGGCTAACCTTTGTTAAAACACGGGACCAGAGAAATGGTGAAGGCGTTTACAAATAAATATGCAAACTAAGTGGGCGTTTGGATAGCCTTTCAACAATTTTCTACCTGCATTGCACTCGAAGCTGAAGTTGCATTTGAGCGGCTGATCTCCACAGTTGACTTATTTTCCGCCTCTCCATTCAGCTGTTCGCCACAGGAGTAGCAGGCTTTGGACCACCACTTCGTTTGCAGTGTTTGTGAAAACCCAAAGTATTGAATTCCTGCAACATTTTTTTAGAAAGGCAAGTCTAAATTATTTTGTGTAAAAGGCACTGCCTCACAAACAAATGAAAGCTTTAAATGTAAAACAGATTTTGATAAAACCCATGCTATTGTGTGTAAATAGCAATGCTTAAGTGATTTGTACGCATTTTAGTTTAAAATGAATCTGTTTGATTAGATAAAAAGAGTTAATCGGGGAGTCGACGTGGGTGGAGTTGCAGGCTGTGCTGGTGGTGTCGAAGGCCTTTGGGATTGAAGTGAGGGTGGGCAACAGCGTTGTTTGGGTGGATGGTGAGAAAAATGTTGCCATGATGCTGCGCTCAGTTGAGGAAGGAAAATCGTTTAATCATTTTAAGCGGTCATTCACACAATCATTGAATGTTTGAAATTGTAATGACTTAGAAGATGTAATAAATTTTCCTTTTTATTTTGCATGGTATTCCCAAAGGCAAAGTTTGCAATTATGTGCATATGCATGACCGAAACTTGTAGCGATTTACGATCGAAACAGTGACTTTCGAGAAGAGACTCAATAAAAAATTGAAGTCAATGTGCGTGCTAAAGCAGTCCTACTTTATAAAGTACTGAACAATTTGAAAAGACGTTGAGCTGAGAAGCAGAACCAGGCAGTCTGGAAGCGCTTAGAACATGTAAATACACACGTAAGCAAAATGATGCATCCGCAAAATAGCCAACGTAGCTAGTTAGAAACGGAAAGTTGCTCCAGTTTTTACTATAAACTTATATCATTCCTCCTTAAAAGAGCACCCAATGTAGGGGGTCATGGAGTCCAAGGCGGCTGCGAGCAGCAGCTACATTACAAATGTTTGCGCTGGAGCTAAGGATGTTGGCGCTTCAATTTAAAAGGCTGTTAACAATTTGTATCACCTATAGAAGCATTTAAGAGTTTGTTGCACGAACCGGGTGCTAAAGAGGCAAGGTAGAGATCAAGTTGGACGAGTGTTTTAAAGTCTTCGTCACCAATCAGATGCAGCATGAAAATAGTAATAGAGCGCTGCATTCGACCATCAAACACGCACTAAAAGCACAAATCTACGGCACACAGCATTTGAACCAAAGAATTGCAGAGAGTTTCCGATCGTTATTAAGCTAACATATTTAAAGAAAGGGGAGTAATGCTAGATGCGGAATGCATAACTGCAGCCGAATTTGTAAGAAAACTTCATATTTCAGCGCACCATACTTAATGCCAATTGTTGTGGATGAATGCTTTATTTGGATTGTCTTCGAAATTGGAGTAACTGTGACTCAAAAGGTCAGGTCATTTGGCAGTACAGCAAGTGTTATGCACATCTCCTTGCAACGAAAAGCGTGGTACGCATGCGTTGGACTGCCTTGCCAGAGCTTTTGAAATCACTCTGTTGGCCAAGTGTGCTCACGCG